GGGCGCACCGCCCTCGATCCTCCATCCAACTCCATCATCCAATCAATCCAGTTGTGCATGGGAGGACATGGTACAAGATACTTGACGGCAGGCCTCTAGCTCTACCTCCCCAGGCGATGATCCCCCCATCTTAATAAGTCGAATCATCCTGGTAATCCAGCTCCCCCACCCCTAAACTCGTCGCCGAGTTCTCGTGCCCGGACTCGATACTGTTGCTGTTCCCGCGCCGTCGCCGGGGCTGGCCCTCATTCGGGATCGAAGGTCTACGCAGGATGGTCGTCGTCCCACTCCCACTCCCACCGCCACCATTCCCACCACCATTCCCACCCCCAAGCATCTCCGCGGGTCTTCGCCGCCGCACGACCTGATACCCTTTGTCGAGCTCGATCTCGATGACGCACCGGACCTTCAGGGCACTCACGGCGGGCCAGACGCCGCGCTCGCCCTTGCGCGACCAGTGGGCCAGGCTTTGCTTGCTGGGGTTCTCGAAGATCTTGGTGAAGTCGCGGAGGGTCAGGTCGGGGACGAGGGTGATGCTGGGGCCGGGGATGGATTCCTCGAGGAGCAGGCGGGCGAGCGGGGTGGGGAGGAGGCCGATGTAGTCGAGCTGGCGGAGGCGGTGGCGCACCTCGCCCATGACGAGGCGGGTGAAGTAGCGGATCGGCGGGTTGGGGTGGTCGCCGGGCCGGCGGATGAGGAGGGTGCCGCCGTCGGAGCGGAGGAAGGGGACGAGGTAGGGCCGCGCCTGCGAGACGATGAAGTGGTTGACGTTGAACAGCTCCGCGATCCGCGCGAGCGGCGACTCGCCCTCGCTGTACTGCACGTGGCGCCACGAGGCGAAGGTCGCGTCCTGCGAGTGCGGCCAGGGCACGATCGAGCCCGTCTCGTCCTTGCAGTAGATCGTGACGGGGCGGTAGAGGGAGGTGTTGGAGGCGTTCGAGGCCACCGCGGCGGACCAGATGAGCTAGGCGAGCCCTCTTGTTAGCTTTTCTAGACCCCCAAAATCAAGTGGGTACGTACCACGTTTGGTGCGGTGAGATAGTTGAGGAGATTCGGCGTGGCGTTGGTGTTGGATGTCGCGACGGTGATGTTGAGGATGCGCTTCGATCGAGCGTAAGCTTCTTCGAACGTCAAGTCTCCCAGGTTGGCCCGCACGCATTCCTCCAAGACTTCGGCGTCAAGAAAGTAGCCCTTCTGGATATATCGCTTGATGCGCCGGAACAAGGTCCCCGCCCAGTTATCGCCGATGTCGAAGGGCAGCCATTGAGTTTCGGAGGAGGCATCTTTGGCCTTCCGACGCCGATCGAAGGCGCTCAAATCAATGCCATCGCTGTCGAGGAAAGTCAACAGCTCATCTTCCGTATGGACCCCGACCAGGGCGGCGATCAGGGCGCCCGTCGCGGTCCCGATGATGATCCGAGGCAGAAGGCCTCGCAGATGAAGAGCCTTGACGACGCCGAGGTGACACAACCCGAAAATTGATCCGCCTTGGAGCAGAAGCGTTGTCCGTCCAAAGGCCTGTCGAGTATCATGCAGCAGCTCGAGCTTCGCCTGCGAGCCAAACCCACTGATGTGGACCGGGGCGGTGGGAAGAGCCGTCACCTGTTGGATGGACAGTGCCACCTGGGTGATATAGTCGTCGATTAGAAGCTTGGTCCCCGCGTACGCTTGTGTGAACAGCTTTGGGGACGTGATGTTGCCCAAATTACGAAGCAATCCGGATCGGAGTAGATTGACCAACGTTAGGATATCCTCGTCTTCGCGAGCACTCATGAGAGCCTCTAATCTGCCCAGGATCAAGCGGTAATCGTAATGGCGGCTGGTCGGGTTCTGGCGCCTGTTGTACGTTGTCAGTGACTGATCTCCGTGCGCAGGCTGAAGTGGAGAGAATTACCAAAGATCCTTGCTGAGGATTTCGTCCAGGTCGAAGGCGGCTTCTTCCCATTCCTCGTAGGTTGTTGCAGTAGCGAGCGCATGGCGCAGTCGGTCTGGGGGAGACCGTGTATTCCACCAGGATAATAACCTCTAGACGGAGAAAGTCAGCTTATCGATTTTACAGCATGGCATTCCAACGGAGTATCATAGGAAGTTGGAGAATTGATCAAGCATATCCGATAGAATTGGTGCTGGCTCGAAAGACCATGATGCCGACCATGTGTCTGAAGACATAGAGTAACCCACCTGTTGCCAAAACTGTGCGACGTCTAGGATCATACTGAAGATGGCAGCGAACAGCTCGTAGATCATCGCCCAGGATGCCATGATGAATGAAGGGGGAGAAGAGGGGCGGTTTATCAATGGCAGGTCAAACGAGAGGGGGAAGAATGACGGCACATGTCGAGACAGACGCCTGGCTGCTGCTTTCACATGCTTGATTTACGTCGAAGTCAGGAGGTTAGCCAAGTTCGCAGCTCAGCAAGGAAAAGAAGCAGAGATTTATGATCGGAGCCGGGGCCGGTGCATGCAATGCCTCTACTTTCGAAGAGTGAGGTTGAATCTTGTAGTATGGAGGAAAGGGAGAGGGGATGTTGAGGGAGAGAAAGCGAGAGGAATTAATTGACTTCGGCGGGATGATGACACACTCGTTCGGTATACTGAACGACTCCCCGCAGCACGGAACTACTATATATATCTCCATAACTTCTAACCACCACCACCACCACCACTAAAAAGGGAAAATAACTACAATACTGAGATGACAACGGGAGATTCTCTCCAGCTCAAGGCACATATGCAATATATTTATACCTCGTGATGGGCATATGTTGTGCTCCTATGGCCTAACAACAGTCACAGTGGAGATGCTTGCGAAACATGGGGTAAGGTTAAAAGAACCTCCATTGGTCAAGGACAAGATATCGTGGAGAATTTGGGGGTACATGAATTAGAACATTCTATGCCGAACTACATACATACGAGCCTAGGCGAGAGTCACCCCATCGGGAGATATACTCTGCCCACTGCAAGAGACCAGGCGAGACCAAAAGGATCAAGAAGAATAAAAAAGCCGACCAGATTTTTGAGTCTCTCTACACGCCACGCTTCGCCAGCGGAGAAGGAAATGCCAGACAAACCCCGTGGACACGTTAACTGGGCATTTGAAATTCCATAATTTTGGGTTTTAAATTTCGCGTTGCTTCCCTATGCAAGTAGGCGAAAATGTATTCTTCGAACATTCCTTCACTACCCACCAAGGCGGACATTTCCAACCGCTTACTCCTCGACAATGTTACCCCGCTCCGACACGTACAGACCATCAAGGAACTAGGAAAGCAAGACGGGTTAGAATGAATATCGCGGTACTTGGGATAGGGCCGAGAGCCAGCTGCTCCAAACTCACCTTACGGATATCCTTGTTGCGGACTCTGCAGATCTGCTGGATGTCGGCAGCGCTCTGGGAGACACCCTCAAGGGAGTTACCGGAGAGCACGAGCTCATCCTTGACGTTGGTGGAGACGGCGATCTCAACACCGGGCTGGGCAGTCACGCGGCGGACGTACTTCTCACCCAAGAAGTTACTAGAGAAACGGTTCCGTCAGTCGGAAAATTCCTTCAAAACGCATACAGCGACAAGCGACGCAGCATTGCCCCTGGACCAGTTGGAGCCAAGTCCACCGTCTCAGTCCAACCAGCCCAGCGACTCGCCGCGATGTCGCAAAAAGGTGGTAGTGCCATACCGGATCTCAACTTCGACCTGGCCAGTCTCGGCGTTCTTCTCAAGGTTGACGTTGATGGGAAAGTGAGCGTAGACGTAGCGCATCTTGTACTTGAAGCCCTTGGTGACACCGATGATCAAGTTGTTGATGAGGGTGCGGACGGTGCGGAGGGTGGCAATACCCTTGCGAGCACCGTGGTGCAGCTGGATGCTGATGACATTCTTCTCGGGGCGGCCGAAGGTGACGGCGATGTGAGAAAGGTCCTTAACGAGCTTGCCTGCAGGAGAGCGGAAAAAGGACTCAGGTTAGCGGCCGCTGGCAGTCGCACGACACGAACGGGCCCGGAAACTTCCAAGCCAGCACTGTCAAGTCTGTCTGGTCCAAGCCCGTTGTTGGGGATGTGCGTGTGGTTGGTGAAGTGGTAAATTGCATACCTCGGGGTCCCTCGACGGTCACAACGCGAGAGCGAATGTGAACCTTCACTATACGACGAAAATTGTATCAGTCCCAGTTCTCTCACACAAACACATAGAATAGTCGCAAGTCTGTATCGTCTCGTCTGATTTCCCTTCCGCCGGCGGAGAGACAGGCATTCTGATATATATGCATTGGTTCCTCCTCTTGATTCTATTCTTCCTCTCCTGCATTGACTGAATCGTAGTCGAGTCGGCGGGGCGCATCACTGTTCCTCTTTTTGCTCCTGTATCCCTCAATGCATCCCATCTCCATGCCTGTCCCTCCGGGGTGTTCCGTTCCTCTCTTTTCCCACCTCTTGCGAAAACCAGCGGACTTTTTGCGAAACCAGCGGAGTCGAGCATTCAGGAGAATGCTCAGGAATAAATCGAATTTGCTCACCATTCTCGGGGACGGGCAGCGTTTCCTCGGAGTGAATGTACCGCATCTTGACTGCGTGGGCTGTGGTGTGTCCGAGGGAGGAATTGTCGATATCGTCGTGCGGTCGGTCGTCGAAAGGATCGAAATTCCTCAAGGCAAACCAGAGTCGAGAGTGGTGGAGCGAAAATCACGGGTTGTGCGTCGCTTACGGCCCAATCGGGCTTAGGTCCTCCCGCCTAGGGTTGCCCACTTTGGGATTAGTGGCTATTGATCCCGCCCGGCAGAACAACAACAATGGAACTGGTCGGTGGCTGCTTATCCTTATCGGTCTGCCTCAAGTCTACCTCACCTAATTACAGTATACGCTCAAGCTTACTACCTAGTGTATATCAACTTTGAGTCATTTCAACTGTACTCATAACTCACATATTTGAACTCTTTGAACGGAAGGAAGCTGTCCGTACAACTCCCGCGGTATATTTGGTCTAGATCGCACACACTGGTACCACGTTATCAGATTACGATTAATCATTTCCTAATAATTATCACATGATCCCAATTATGTACGCAGAAGAAATGCATAAAGTCCTTATGATGAGCTTTTCCCGTCAAGAATCCTCAAATCGGTCTGTGAATCATGACCTGTTTGGCAGCGAAATTCAATGCGGATCGTGAAACACACAATCCCATGCATGCATACCGTAAATAGATCGAGTCCAGATGCGTTAGTCGAACCGACAAATAGCTTTCCAGTCCGCCCAAAAAAAAAATCTAGTCGCTTGTTGAGTCCTTACGGTGGACTTCTTGGACCCACTTACCACCCAGGTCCCTCAAGGTTGATGTCAATTCGTCGCGCCCGTTGAGGGCCGTCACGTCGTCACCACCCCCAATGCTCTTGCCATTGACCAAGACATTAGGGACAGTCCGACGACCTGTAGTCTCGGCCAAAACAGCCTGCAACATCCGACCATGGGGATGCTGATCCAACTCCACGACGAACGGCACAGGGGTGATGGAGTAATGATCCAGGAGAATGGACTTGGCTTTGGCGCTATAGGGGCAGTACGATTTCGAGAAGATGATAACTGCGTTTGGAAAAGACATAGAACATCAGTAATTCATTCCCCCACGCATCAGAGGGCAAAGGGAAACCACATACTCGGAGCCTTTTTCAGGATATCATTCAACTCAGCCACTGCATGCGCATGCGCTTCCGCCTCGGCGTCGTTCTCTGCCTCTGCCTGCTGCGGCTTGGACTCCTGCTTGAGCTGTTCTTGCTGTTGCTGTGGCTGTTGCTGCTTCTCCTCCAGCTCCTCCTCCGGTTTCTTCGACACGGTCATCTTGGTCCGTCCCGCGATCGGGATCTCTGCCATGTGGTCGGCCGGTTTGGCCTTGGGGATCGCCGGGGCGATCTTATCATCGGTCATGGGATGCTTCAGATCTTCCTTGACGGGGCTGCGGTTCGGGACGGGGATGTTGGCTGCTGCGGCGGCGGCCGGGGTGGCTTCCTTGGCCTGCTTTTGGGCATTCATGGCAGCCACGGTGGAGCGATAGAATTGCTGGTTCTGGACACTCCGGGCGTCACTCTAGAAGGCGCGCGTCGCGTTAGTTCTACATCGCGCTATCTGGAAAGCGGTTTGCGACCACGACTGGGGACCGGGATTATACCGAGTAGTACCAGGTCACGCCGAGGATCACCAGCACGGCAATGACCAAAAGTCTCATGCGCCGTTGAGAGAACATCTTGGAGCTGGTTGTTGGTAAGTCGAAGGGGGGAGGGTTTGACAGCGATGCGATCGATAATCACGGGCGGAGGATATCTTCGGCTGGGGAGAATGCTTGCTGTTAATTCAACGAAGCAACTGTGCGCATCAGTGCTGGGATGGTTTAACAGTCGATGTGTCGAGCCGACAAGTCATAGATGCAGCTCCAAGACCAACGATGGCTGGACATTGGGCGAGAGCGAGAGGTTAGAGATTAAAATTCCTGGAGAAAACAGATCAAGAATAAAACCAGGTGGCAAAGTCAATAGTAACCGACTATGCTGTCAGTGAGAGATCTAAAAATACGCGCGACCGAATAAATGTCAAGAGGTTTCTCCTGGTGTAAGGGGGGAAAAGGTCCCATAAGGAATAAGGAGTGGGGAAAGAGTCGAGGCAACTGGCAAAGACTAACTCCGGCCTCGCCGGCGCGGCGCTCGGACGCGGGCCTCCGAGCCTACTTTTACTTCCGGCAAGCACGGAGCAAGTATTATTTCTTCCTGGTGACTTGAATTATGAATTATATTATGGAATATTCATGCTATGCTATATCCGGGGTATGTAGCTGGGTGGTATCATGGTAAAAACAATAAAGGAAAACATTCAATCAAGCGTTAGATGATGTCTTTCTTGAGACAACAACATACGTGAGGGCATGTAGGTAGATGCAATGAACTCACGGGTGCAGATCAGAACAAATATAGATCTGGACTGAGATGGTAAGATAAGGCCGCTGTTCCATCCCGCAGACCCTGCAGCGGTTTGACTGAGCGACCGAGGGGTATTGTGGTGGTGATAACGGCTCATCTCCTCCATTTGACTCAGCTTCGCTCACTCCTCCTTTGTCGCGTGTTTTGTGGGAGATATCACAGTGAAGATCCGGGAAGTTCCTGGCAACCCAAGCCATCATCATGCTTGAACTGCGATCCCAGAGCGCGTCCCTATAGTCCCTTTACGCTTGCCTTGGACCACAACCATCCAATCCTCCCACTCCTTGGCGATTTCCATCAAGACATTGCCCATCACCGTAGCTGAGGCCATCAATCCGTGCCCTTCACCTTCAAGCACACGAACTTCGCAGCGCCGCATAGTCTTCCCCAGCCACTTGACATTGTCGACAGGAACGCGAGTGTCTCGGCTACCATGATGGATCACCACATTCCGAGTAATATCCACATAACGGAACCCAATCGGTTGACGACGTTCCAAGCACACCAGTAGATCCACGGCCGGGTTTGCGTTCGTCGTCGCCAATTCCCAGATTCTGTGGGTGAGCCGATTATCGTAATCCACCTGCCGCTCACGATCTTGAGATGCAGCAAGTGCGGCCTGGGTCGATAGATGCTTGTCAATGGGATGACCTGCTCCCACAACTATGCGTGTTGGCTTCTTATTCTCAAGGCCTTTTAGACCGCCTTGCTGGTGCACCTTCCCTGGAAGCTGTTGGGGCTTGCTGAGCTCGATAACAGCAGAACTTAAGATGTCTCTCTGTAGCGCTTTGCGCTTGGCTCGCCGGGGAGACCTGGGGAGACTGGAGGTAAGACTCGCACTTGCTGCGCTCATGAAGCTGGAGTTCGCGACCTTGAGAATCGATGTTGGGAGCGCTCGAAGAATGCGTTGGGTGTAAGGGACGGCATTGGTCGGAACTGGGGCCTTCAATGAGCCAAAGCTTGATAATTGTGAAGGAGGAATCCACGGAGCCAGCAGATGAATTCTTCCTCGAATATGCTGTGGAATTCTCAGAGCGGTTGCTAGCGCATAGATAGCACCAGCGGAGTGTGCCATGATCGAGAACTTTGTGACTCTGAGATGATTACATACTATCGCAACATCATCTAAACCATGTCAGTCAATCCTACTCGTAGACAGGAGAACGCTCACGGCGTGATCGGTACATAGCACTCACCAGGCCAACTGAGAGGGGTTGCCGGTTCGTTGATGTAAGGTGCGCTTTCACCGACACCAGGACGATCCAAGGTGACCAGGCGAAGCTTGAGAGACCTCGCCAGTTCGTCATAAAAGGCCATCAGATATCTCGTCAACCCCATGCCGAGGCAACAAAGAACCACATGACCATTAGGGTCTCCAACCTCAGAAAATGCTATAGAGCGGCCTGACGTGGGATGAATTACCTTCTGGGTTAGCTTAGCGGCTGTCACATAATCTTGGACGGCAAGGTCGATGGAGTCAGCGCTGGATGGGCGCTCCTCTACGGCGGTATAGCCAGTAGGGGAACTCGCACTCGATAGGGATCGACTATGCCGGAAGGGAAATGGTGAGTCAGTCGCATGCTTGTGAGTGAATTTCTCAGATGGGTCAAACTTGTCGAAGGAATGGATGGATGTCGCGGTTGATCTCGAGGTGAATGGGGGACTGATGGAGGTTGTAGAGCGGTTTTTGCCCGTGAAAACTGCCGGAGCTGGAGCGCTGTCGTCGAAGCTGAAGCGAGATGTATGTCCCGTTTGTTGTAGATCGGCAGTTCCACCAAGTCCCGCAGAGGCCAACGGCTGCGCATTTCTGGCAGTGGGCTCTTTATGTGAGTTCAGCGAGGCGTTATCTAATTCTAGCTCGGTCTTGATCTTCTGTTGTTGGTCCTTTAACTCTTGGATTCTCTTCGTCACCTGATCCGAATCACTGCCCACCCCTGAAACGGCACTGTCCACTTTCATCTCTCTGCTACTGGTGGATGAATACCGGCTATGGCGAGTAGAAGACCTGCGGTGCTTTGGGCTTAAAGAGAAACTATGTCGCAAGGATGATTCGCGGGTAGGGATGATGCGCCCGCTCCCAATGCCACCTGGAGTATTGGGCGTGCTTTCTTGGTTGCCCTGCAGTGAGTTGCGTTCCTTGCTGGGAGGTCTGCTTAGTGAAGAATCGGTAGCGGTCTCAGTTGGGGCTCGAAGTGGCGGGGCACGTCCTTCTTCAACCACGTCGGCCATGGAATGCAGAGAGCGTACGCTGGCTCTATTGCGTGGTGTGTTTTGTCGAAACCCGTCGTTGAAGCTGTTCGTCTTGCGCAATCGATCCAGCTGCCGCTCTTTCTCGCAGGGAAACTCTCGCGATACTCGCTTTAGAATGCTGACTTGGCGTTTGAGGCTTTTCTTGGAGCCGGACGACGCGACACTGTTCGCAGTTAAAAGTCGTGGACCTGGTTCGGCGGTGATGGTACCAAAAACGGAGTCTTCATAGGCCGCCTTGGACGAAGTAAAGGAGCCCCTTGATGTCGGTCTCCCTGGAGACAAGGGCGAATCGAGGGCAGCTTTGTGTTTGGGGGGTGGCGGCGCGCGGGCCATGCGAATGATCGGAGCAACCGCTGCATCATCTGGATGCAGAAAGGGACCCTGTGACGTCTCCACGGGCGGCTGAAACGCCCCGAGACTCAACCCGAGTTCATGCGCGCTGGCCGGGCGTTGGTCCGGAATGTGATGTTTCTCGGAGGCGAAATAGACGGGCGAGTCGGGATCGGTCTTGGTGTCAATGCGCGGAACGTTATCGAAGTGCGTCTGGAGAGGTATTGAAATGGCCGACAGAGACGAGATCAGAGAAGAGATGACTTCGGGGGAGGCTGGGTCAAAAGCTGGGGGAGGACTGGCGGCGAGTGCGCGCGACGGAATTGACTTGCGACGCATGTCGAGCAAAGCCGAGGGTAGGAAAGGGGCAGCATCATCAACTTGGGATGTCGGAGAATGTTCCGTGCGATCCATGGCGGACATTGACAGGGACAGGGAATCTGCCTGTCCAACAGCAAGTTTCGGCCCCAGCTAGACTAGCCCAGAGACAGACAGAAGACAATCACCGACGATATATGCGGTCGATGGTAGTACGCGCTTGCATGATCCAGTAAGATGGCAGGATAACGTCTGCAAAGCTTGGTAACTAGCTTAACGGTAAAAATCAATAGACCGCGGGCGCTTGATGCATGTGCCAGTCACCATGCAGGCAGACCCCGGGGGGGGGGGGGGGATGGTAGGAGGGGAAGGGAGGGGGGTAAGAAGGGTAAGGTAAGAAGGGCAGTGGAGGATCCAGGGCGGTCCTATCGCTGCCCTTGCGGTATGCAAGCCAGCGGCCCCCTTGCCGAACGTTTGTTGTCTAGAAGGTCGATCTAGACAACCAATGGCTTTTTGGTTGCACAGTTTAGCAGGGACGACAGAGAGAAATCAGAATATTCGTTTTATGTAGTTGCGTAGGGGGACTTTTTTTGGCGGATAAGAACTATTGAAATTAGACAGTGAAGTGAGGGGGAAGAAGAAAAGAGAACGGAAATAGAAAAAGGGGAAAAGATAGAACAAGGTGAGTGAGTGAGTGAGTCGTTGGTAGAAGAAAGAAGGGACCCAAGGATCAATTGTAGCTCAATAAAAAGGGTGCTAAGCCCGAAACTGGGAAGATAAACAACAAGCCTGCTGTATCGCAGTGATCTGAGAATATCTCAAAGGGAGCGAAGCAGAGAAGAGCAACACAGAGCACACGCAATCTAATCTATTGATGGTCTGAGAAAAGAGTAGAAGGGAGTATGTTCAAGACAGGATGGAGGGAGAGAGTACTGTACCTATGATGGAACGATGGAACGATGGAATGATTCCGGTGGAGAACAATCTACAGCAATTGTTCCACTGATCACTTTTCTTTTCACTTAGAATGAGACTTGCATCATCTAGACTACTATCCAGCAGTCTCCTCTCCACTGTTTGTGTGTGCGTGCTTTATATGGATATAGCATAAAAGGTCCCAAAAAAAAGTCCGTCCCCCCTCCCCCTCCGTCCGAGATGGCAAATAGGGAAAAATAGAGGTACCAAGCTAAGCTAGGGAAAGGAAAGGAAAAGGAAGACGAGCAGAAGACCAAGCAAAGCAATCATCAATGGCCTGCGGGTCTCCCGCGGACAATGGGTGGAAGGGAGAATCCACTCCTTCGATCTCACTGGGTTCTTTTCCTTTGCCTTCCTCCGCACTGTTCGCAGATCCAAATTTTCCAACCGTATCAAGCTCGTACCTTCAGGGGTACAGTCTCTGTGGTTCAAACTTTCTCCCAATTCCGGAAGATCAGTCTCTCCTTCGACAGTGTGGATGAAGCACCCAATCTCTGCAAGAGTAATTCCTCGACTCTGAGACCACGAAGTCGTGTGTTTAACACTCATAATCGTGCAGCCCGGTGCAAGGCCAACGGTATCCATCTGTCTCGGTAAGAATCTCTAAACGCGGAAACATAGATGGAGGTTGTGTATAAGGTCCCCACCGAACCATCACAGGGTTGAGCACGAAATAAGGGTCGGCTGTTCTCGATTCGCACTCTCGGCATCTGCGAATAAAACTACGCTCGTGTTGGACCCAAGGTAAGGATGATCACTCTGGCCGCCACTTTTTTAAGCTGGACGATTATTCCCCATGCATTCCTTCGTCATGCACTCAATAATGCAATTGCGGGAGAATCAGATAAGCTAGGAGCTTCATATATAACAGCGTTGGGCCTATAGACGTTATGCATAGATATCGAGTGGATGTAGGATCGTCATCGTCGATTGCCGAGGATGACCTGCCCAAGGCTGGGAGTTCCGTGCGACGAGATCATCGCGGATGGTTTTTTATTGTCGGTGAGGGGATACCTGGACAATACAATGAGATATAGGGATAGGACGTAGGAGATGTTGAATACGCGTTCTGGATATCGGTCTTGCTTCATCAGTGGTCGATTCCTCAAAATCAATGTCGACAATATGAGATATGTGTACTTGCCGGCCGGGGCGGTAGAATATATATCATCACCGATCAGCCCCGTGTGCAAGGTACTAGTGGTACTTTCATACGTCACATTTGAGACTTTCGAAAGAGATACCTACTAGATGTAGGATATCTGGTCGGACCTGACCTAAAACTCGTGGACCGTCTCCCTAGCTAATTGGGCCTGGTATGGGTGCCAACTCATGAGACACGATAAGTGTGTCTAGTGGTGAAGTGTTGCGATGGTGTTGTTGTTATCTTGCGGCGGGAGGACCAAAGGCGAGCTTGGCATATTTCGGGGGTGGAAACTCATCTGTCCGCAATTCCTCTCCAGCTCTGCCCAGTGACGTGCAGGAGGAGTTTATTCGGGTGGAAGCCCACAACATTGAATCCGGCTCACAGCTCTTCTTTCTTTCATACTCGATTCCCCGCTTCTTACACTGTGCTATTGCGTGGTCACCTCCAGCGTGATCTTGAACTTCCATTCCAATCAGATATGCGGTGACCGACGGTACCGCGAAAGAGCACCTGTCCGCAATGGACGCCTACCCCGAGGACTACGTCACCCACAACCTGCCCTTCATCCTGCTCTCCGGTCTTGAGTCGGGATCCGAGGAGAACCGAGAAGATGCCAGTATCAACTATCCTTTTCTGCATGAAAAAGGTGCGACAATAGACTCGGATCTTCCCTCGTTAAGTGGTTCGGTCGCCGAGGAATTGCGACGTGTACTACTGGACGAAGATGCATCGCATGTGGCAGGAAGCCCCAGAGAGGAGGAATATATAGACTCAGCGAGAGCCCAGTACAAGATCAAGAGTATTGGACGGGTGAGCCATTGCAGTACGGCGCTCCTAGCCGTGCCCCTCCCTCCCCCCGCTTCGTCTCCTTATCCCTCGTCAAGCAACCATCAAACAGACTGCGCGGAAAGCTGCAACTACCACGCAGTTTATGCCCCTGGCTCACGACTCATCGACTCATCGCCATGTGCAAGAATTGGACTAGGCTGATTTCTATCTAGTCTTATAGGTTACCTCCGCGCAAAGCTGATCCCCCGCCTGTGTCTCCTCCTCCGAGCCCCGGAGCCAGTCAAGAAAACGATGTACCGCGCGGAACCTCGTTCATACTTCACTCGCCGATCTCACCTTTGACCCCCGCCTCACCTACATTCCCTGATGGCCTGCTTACGCCTCTGTGGGTCACTAAACACCAAGGGCTTGTCCCTGCGGCGGTAATCAACTTCTTTCCGTTTTGCGCGGACCCTAATATGAGTTCCCTGCGCGACAACCAACTCAGAATCGAGATAAATGGATTGAAGAAGCAATGGCAGTCCTCCGGCTACAAAACCCGCTTCCTAGTTGTTCTACTGTCCGAAGATAGCGAAGACAGTCTTCACAGTGATACCGAAGACCGGGTAGCGAGCATTCGGAGAGCGACCAACCTGGATCAGAAATCACTTTTCCTGCTCCCGTCAGATGCCACACCTATGGAATTGAAGGAGTTTGCCGTATCTCTGTTGTCACACCTTCAGCCATCTGTGATAGAGTATTATCGAGATCTGTCTAAGCACGCCAGGAGAAAGCGCAATCGAGGAACGATCCCCCCTCCGACGGCACCACCAACAAGCGGCACGTCCCAGACCTTATCGAGTCAAGGTTGGAATGTAAGGTACGAATTCAAATTGGGAATCTTCGCGGAATTCCGTCGGGAAATCGATGCAGCACTGAGAAACTATGAGAGCGCGTACGAAACCCTATTCGGCCAAGAAGTGTTTGAGTCTATCGCTGGCTGGAATCCTCGATTCAATGATGCACGGTTGCTTGGGGATGCTCTCGCTATACGCATCATACGCTGCCTTTTATGGACGGGGCAGACTACCCTTGCGGTGCGCGCATGGGGCAATCATCGAAGACGCTCACACGACATCCTTAATCGCCGTGGCAAAGGAACAAAAAACTATGGATGGGAAGCATGGGAGGCTCGATGGTCTATGGTCATGGCGCAGCTTATACGTCAGGCCAAGATTCCCCAATTTACCTCAGTTGGGATCCCGCAGGATCAATTTCAGCAGCAATATTCGATTTTTGTTCCACTTAACCCTACTAATTCCACCTTGGACGCTGAAGTGCCGTGGGAACAGCTTCACCATGAAGGCTACTGGTTGTATCGAGCAGCCAAGCATGCTAATTCCCGGCGCATCATGGCCGAGCAGATTCCCGAGGAAGATCGGATGCCACCCGGACAGTCTCCTGCTTCCCAGATAGCCAATAAGTCTTACATGTATGACACATATTTGGTGCCTGAACCGCATATTGAAGCACCTAAGTCGGGAACAAGCGGCTTCGATCACTCTGCGTGGAGACTAGATGCGCTGAAAGCAGCATTGGAAGAATTTGCTAAGCGTGATCAGCTACGAAAGACGGAAAGCATCACCTTGGAGATCGCAGAAGAGTATATGCGCGTGGGTTCATGGCAAGAAGCCCATGCGATTCTCAGACCGTTGTGGTCAACCTTGACATGGCGACGCACGGGCTGGTGGCAGCTCATGGAAAAAGCCGGCTGGGCCTTGAGAGAAAGTGCCTCGCAGGTGAATGACGCTGAATTGATGTTGCGGATCGATTGGGAGCTGCTCAACAGAGGTAAGAAACCCCCTAAATTAGATCACATGGTTACAGTCAGCTTTCGGGCTCGCTATTATCTGGTTTGTGCCCACCTTCTGATTATCCACTAGCTTTCACGTCCCGGCCTGAATGGCACTACGATATACATAGAAGCCTAGAAGACCTTCCTCTGACGAAACCAAAGCCATCGGTTGCTCTGCTTGCAGAGGATATTGTCTCATGCGGTAAGATGCAGCTTCAGGATTGTGCGATCTATTGTGCTAAGATTTGTCCACCAGTGACGGCGTCGTTCGTTTTTCAGAAGTCAGAAGGCAATGTTGGCGAGCCATTGAAAGGACAACTTGTTGTAACATCATGCGCTCATGCATCATCAGCGCCCATCATGTTCTCCGAGATTAAAGTTGCTTTCGAAGGTTGCCTGCGTCCAATCAAGCTCCAGTCAACGAGCAACGAGGAGGTGGATACCGTGACGCAGTGCACAATATCGGCGCCTTCCCTGCGTGATCCAAGTGTTTCGGCAGACCAATCCTCTATCCTGTCACCTACCAGTGGTCTAACAGCGTTGACTGGCATTGCAGACCTAACTGTTGCTCCATCGCAAACAAGAGTGTATGAGTTGACATGCATCCCCAGGGAGGCAGGAGAATCGCGCGTGGCGTCGATCACACTGGTTATCGACGAGGAGAAGTTTGACCTTGCAGTTGCTATCACTGACATAAACCCACCTGAAGCATTTTGGTGGCAGACTACGTCGAAAGGTCCTACCCGTCGTCGCGTCGGCAAAGGTCGGGATCCTGGTCGGTGCAAGATACTTCCGAAACCGCCGAAGATACGCATATCTGTGCTGAACATGCGTGATACATACTACACAAACGAGGAAATAATTCTCAAGATTGACCTCCACAATGGAGAAGATGAGGCTGCAGAAGTCTCAGCGGAAACGAGACTCTTTGGTCACCCAGACTCGAAAGCCAAAATCCGATGGCTAGATGAGACGACATCCTCTGAAACACCGAGCACTGGTCAAAGTACACCGATTGAAGGGGTATCGCATTTTATCAAACGGCCAATAGGTTTGATGGAAAGCTCGAGTCACCAAGAGTTGGCCATCGTCCTAACCGACACCAGTGATGCCTCGAACTATGATCTCGACATAACTACTGTTTACAACCTCGTGTCTGATGTTCAAACACCCATTATCGCAACAACGCGGGTCAATCTGTCCATAATTCGACCATTCGAAGCTAACTATGAATTTCTCCCCCGGCTCCACCCCGAGCCCTGGCCGGACTTCTTTACTGTTGATGATGACCTGCTCCCCAGTGGAGAGGGTTCGACCCCGGGAGGCCTCCAGCAGCGATGGTGTCTGAATTCCAAGGTCGTCTCTTTTGCCTTGGAGCCTCTCGTCATTGAGAGAATGTCGGTTGTGATGATGGAACTCGGTGGGGCTTCGACCTGTCATATCGGCTCGGAGGAGATTGTTAGCCCCGAAGCTGTGGAGATTCAACCCGAGGAACTTCGGGAGTCCAATTTCACTCTTGACATCCAAAAGGAGATCCTTGGCGACCGACGACCGACCGCCCTAAACTTAGCGCTTGAGATACACTGGAGGCGTAGCGCAGTTGAAGATGATGGTTCTCGCCCGGCTACTACCACTTCGACCCTCGCCATCCCCCGATTCATGATCCCGACCGGGGAGCCTCGAGTGCTGGCCTCAGCGAGGCCTTCAAGTGCTCTTTCCGGCCTGATTCACCTGGAATACACCTTGGAGAATCCATCGATGCACTTCCTCACGTTCAATCTGACCATGGAGGCCAGCGAGAACTTCGCCTTCAGTGGGCCGAAGACGATCGTGGTCCAGTTGGTGCCCTTGAGTAGACAGACGGTTCGATATAATTTATTGGCATCCAAGCGAGGATTGTGGATCCAGCCACAGCTTGTTGTCGTCGATACATACTTCAACAAGACCCTTCGAGTCTTACCGACGGAAGATATGCGGACGGACAAGAAAGGGATTTTGGTCTGGGTAGATGCTGATGACTAGGGTCAGCCATGCAATTGATCTATGTGGATTGATCTATGTGGTAGCTAGATAGAGAAGATTGATATTCAGGTTAGCTCAGCGGAGCCTTTCGTGCAGTAAGTCCAGGAAGATTCGTTTTGGACACACGGCGGCATGTGTATAGACCCGATATGATACAGAAAACGGCTTAAAGATGACGATGATGACGATGGACTGTGTCTACTGTGTATGTAAGAAACCGCGATGCACGTGATCCCAGCCCTTATCACGCATTACCCGCAACGGACTAGTGGCGGCGATCGGAGCGACGCCCGCAAGCTCCCCA